AAATACTTATTTAAAAATAATAATTAAATATTTAATTTAAAACAATATATTTTATTTTTTTTACACAATTCTTCCTATCACACGTAAAGAAATCAATCCATCCAAAACCGCAAATAAAGATTATACACATATTCTTGTTTTTCGTGTTTTTCTTTTACATTTTTGTTGTCTTCTTTTCTTTGTTTTTTAGAATTTGTCAAAGAATTCACACAAATAGTCCTCCAGTCTACTTAGGGTGTGTTTGTTTAGGATTTGGATTTTGAGTTGGGATTCGAATAGTAAAATATTTGAATTAGAATAGTTGTATAATGTGATATAAATAGGTATTAATGTGATGTTTTAAATGTAAAATTGACTTTTAGTATAATAACAAAAATTAAAAATAAGTATTTGATTTGATGCTTTTAAGGAGAAAAAATTTGATGAATGGTAGAAATTTTGGGAAGTTTGACAAACGAACACACTCTTAGTTTATATTTCATGTTACCTGCACAAGATTAAAGTTGTACTTACATAGGAGTCATATTGTACTTAACCTTTACTTGGAGATCAAAGTCAATACTTTTGGATTTTGTCACCATATTCAAATGCAATTGTACATATACTCAACAAAACGTACATATCCCACAAATTACAAAAAAAAAATTTGTCCAATAATATAACATTATTTTTCATAGTGTAAATGTAAATATTGATCAAGTGTAAATATAAATATGTATGTAAATGTAAATATTGATCAAGTGTAAATATAAACATGCATGTAAATGGATATGTATTAGTAAATATTATTTATAAGTATTGTATGTACAATTATATATATTAATATATACATAAATGCATATATAAGTTGTAATCATCTCGAAAAAAATGATATTCGGAAAACTATATATATTAGAAGCAACTTATATTTCGAGATCAAATTCGAGTCAAAGTCTATATTTTTGAATTTTGTCTTCGTATTTGGATGCAATCGTGCATATATTTCAACAAATAGCACATATACCATAAATTATATAAAAAAAAATCCCAAATAATATAACATCAATTTTCATGTCAAATATAAACGTAGAAGTTGCGATTGTAAATATAATGTATATGTAGTTATTATTTATAAATTTTAATAGTGTAAATGTATATGTAAATGAATATTTATTTGTAAAGATTGTTAAAGGTATTGTATATGCAAATATATTATTTCTCTATCCAGTTAGAAAGTATACATATTTTTATTTTGAGACGTTCAATTACAAAGTAATCATTTTATTAAATACTCTTTTTTTTTTTTCACAAATATCTTACTTTACATCAAATCATTACTTTTATACCAAAAAGTAAGAGCAAAAATGTCATTACACTACTTTTACATACCTGCTATAATTAAAATACTATTATTTCTTAAACTTTGCATCAAAAGTAAATGTATATTTTTTACTTTGACGGAGGGAGTATTAATATATGCGTGAATGTATATACATTGTAATTGCCTCTAAAAAAAATAGTAAGCGGAAAGTTGTGGTTATAATAGAAAACATTTGTATTTACCAAACTCAAAAGTTGTACCTTCGTATGAATCATGTTGCACTTCACCATTCCTAATCATGTGCGGGTGTGTTTTACTTTGAATGATTATGGTGGATAATATTATTTTATCTAATTTAATCATGTGTTTACTATGCATTACTATAACTCATAATAAACTAAACCTCGATATAATAATACTATTATCAAGGATTATTAATACTTCTCTTATACGTGGGTATTAAATAGTACTAAGGTATAATTAATATAAAAAGACTACTTTAACTTTTATTAATACCCAACTTACTATTAATTTTATCATTTAATTAAGGGTGTTTTAGGAAAAATTAATAGCCTTATATAATAATCAATTATAGTAAGCATTAAATTACTTTATCATATGATTACATAATCTATTACAAGAATAAATGTATTATAATTCTATCCTACAAAGTAAATGTTCCCTACCTGTGCGGTGTACTAGAGAAAACTTGTATTTCAAGATCAAAATCTATATTTTTTGTATTTTTTCATCGTATTCGGATGCAGCTGCATGCAACTGTACATATACTTTAATAAAAAACACATATCCCACAAATTATACGAAAATTTTCCAATAATACAACGTCATTTTTTATGTCAAATGTAAATATTTTTTATAAATATTAATTAAGTGTATTTGTAAATATAAATGGTATATATAAATGAATATCTATTTGTAAAAGTTGTTTATAAGTATTATTTACAATTATGTATTAATGTATATGTAAAATATAAATGTATATGTAAATTAAAATCTATTTGTAAAAGTTGTTTATAAGTATTATATACAATTATCACTACAAGAAATTATCAATTTTGTAACGAGGTTTTTTCGTTCCTAAATTCATTTTTTCTGTTACTAATGATATTAGAGACGGAATTAGAGATGGAATTACGTTAGCTACGTGAACTTTAGGAACAGAATTCCGTTACAAATATACTATTTTTTTATAGTGTATGTATTAATATATATGTAAATGTCTATATATATATATATGTTGTAACCGCCTCGAAAAAATAATATGCAGAAAGTTGTGTGTATAATAAAAGATAATTGTACCTATATAAAATCAAAGTTGTACCTACATAAAAAAACATATTTCAGTTAGCCGTTCGAGACCTATACATGCATTAGAAAAAATTTGTACTTTGACATTAATGTTGATATTTTTTTTTTTTGTTTTGCCACCATATTCGAATGCAACTATGCGTATAATTTAATAATGAACATATATCCTCCAAATTACAAGAAATTTATACAACGTTATTTTTCATTTCAAATGCGTCTTCACAATTCAAAAATCCACTTTCAATCGCCATATTTTATGTAGGACATGAGAATGAACTATTTTCAACATGTACCATTGGTCAAGCGCGATAAGGCAGTGTAACTGCCTCGAAAAAATGATACTCCGAAGATTATACCTATAATAAAAGACAATTGTACTTATAAAAGATCAAAGTTGTAATTACATAGTAATCACGTTACACTTGGCTCTTTCTAATCTTGTATTTGTAATTAAATAAATGTGTACTTCGAGATCAAAGTCGATATATTTTTTTTCTACCATAATCAAATGCAACATATGTATACTTCAACAAGGCGTACATACCCCACAAATTACTTGTATTAGAAGAGATTTGTACTTCAAAATCAAATAAGTTATTATCTTGAAAAGTATTTGTTTTGGTGGAAATACAACACGTTTATACAAACTAGTTTTAGCGAAAACATAGAATGGGGGTGAATAACGACGGTATGGCGGAGACAACGATAGTTGTGGGTGAGAGAGTTAAAGTGAAGTCGCGGGTTCAATCGAAAGGGAATACGAGTACCAAGAAGAAGATTAGAGTAGAAGACAAAATAGAAATGGATTATTTGATTTTTAAATAGTTTGATAATTTTGTAAGTTAATATTATGTAGGGGTTAAAAATAGTAATTTAGAGTTAAAATAGTATACTATGTTTATATGAGCAAAAAAAAAAAAAAAAAAAAATGGGGATGAGAAAATTTTGAAGAAATTAATATTTGTTCACAATTAACAGTTATATAATCGGATTATTGGCGGAACAACAGGACTAACTAAAATTTAGTCAATTCAATCCAATCCATCGATGTATAACGAGCTAAGTGAGTTATAACTTACAAATTATTTTAAAATATTAAAATATATTAAATATTTTTATAATTAATATTAAAAAATAATTTTATGATAGAAGTTAAATAATAAATATATCAAAATAAATAATTAACATAAAAAATTCAAATTCAAAATAGTATTAATAGGTGTATTTTTTTTAAAAAAAATTAATAATAGAAATTATTTTTAAAATTTCATAATTACAAGTCTAAAAAATTATAGAATAATAAATGGAAGATAATAAAACAAGATAAATAATAATAATAAAATAAATGTCATTAAAAAGAGAGTTAAAGAAAAAGAGCAATGAGATAGATAATATTGGTATATTGGTTTAAACTAATGATAAAATAAATAATTTTTTCTCCGATCAATTTAAAATATATCTTTTTTGTAAATTAAAATATAATGATATGTTATTTATTAGAAGAAATTGTTGATTTTAATATCTTTGTTCTTTATACCTTATCTATAATTACTTGTATTTATTGTGATATATTTATAATTTATATAAAAATAAAAGATATTTAGGCATTAATATCCTATTACTTTTATTATAGAAAAATAATATTTTCTAATGTAATAGACAAAAGTGATAAAAATAAAAATAAAAATGATTATTATATTTACTTGGCTCAACGGTTCTACGCGGCTCGTTTAGATTAGCTCATTTGGGCCTGTATTTTAATAAATTCATATAATTAAATAAATTTAAAATATATGCAATATAGTAGAATTTTAAGTATTACAAAATATTTATTTGTTTATATATAATTTAGATAAACTAATTTTATTAAAAAATGATAAATTTGAAATAGAAATACAGATATTTTTTATTGAATAGAGAGATAAAAATAGAAAAATTTAAATTGGTCCTATATGATATTATATATTCTTAAGTTAATTAAATTTATTGTTAAATATATTTCAATTTAGTAAATTTTAGGGGGAAAAAAATTATATCATTGTAAGACAAAAAAATAAAAAATAAAATCAATCGAAGTGAAACTGAAGAAATATGTTTTATATTTACTATTCCTATGAAATACATTTTCTTTTTTATATTTTAAATAGTATAAATACAACTCATGACATTCTTTCTCCGTCCCAATACAATAGTTTTATTTTCATAAATAATCATATCACCGTAAAATTACTGTTACTTTTTCATATTTATTACACAATTATCACTACTTTTTATTCTAATATACTCACAAAGGCAAAAAAAATCTTTTATTCATTATTTTTATCTATCTATCAATATAATCTCAAACTCAATTAAGACTATAATTGTGGGAGGGAACGAGGGAGTACCTTGTACAAACACATGTTTCAAGCATGATAATATTTCTCAATCACTACAAGACAGTAATCAAAGTTCACTTTCTATACCTAAATTAATCACCAATTTGTTACCAAGAAATCAAAAGCATTCAAATTAGACAATACATAATCCATAATATATATATATATATATATGCAATTTTTGTAATTTGTAATTATTTTAAATTAATCTGAAATAGCAGTAACGAAGATAATATTAACATTTAACAAAAATCAAAATTAAAAACCTATCTATCTATCCAAACTTCCCCTTCCCGTACACACAAACGGCCGAAACGGCGTCGCTTCGTAATAGAACGGCGCCGCAGGGTGCTGCCACTTCTTCGCAACCACCGCAGGATTCTCCGGCGCCGGCGCCGGCGCCTCCTTGCTACTACCAGCACCGGAGCACAATTTCATCTCAGGCGTCGGATTAGCGGCGGTCGGCGACTGAACCAGCGGCGACAGGAGCGGAATCGCGACGTTCCATTCCGTCGCCGGACTGATCTGAATCGACGCCGGCGCTCTCCGCTGCAACCTGCTCGGCTGCCGCCGCGACGCCGAAGTCTTCCGATGAGCGTCCGCCATGGATTTTGGGGGAGAGATTTTAATTTGAGAAGAGTTTCAGTTATGAGAGAAATGAGAAGGTGCGAGAAGTGTGAACGGAGGGAATTGGGTATAAATAAGGGGCGCGTGCTGCGCACGTGTCGGTGCGGTGCTGAGATTGGGAATCCAATTTGCAGTCAAAGATTGTTAAGAAGCATAAAGAGTAAATATGCTACTATGAGTCGGCTCGGCTCGGCTCGGCTTAGGAGGGGACAAAGCCTGTGGTATTTGTGGTATTTTGACCGAATATTTACGAGAAAGTAACAAATTAAAATAATTAATCTCAAATTTAGAATTACTAATGGTGTGTTTGTTTTGTGGTTTTTATTTTAAATAATTTTTATTAATGTGAAATATAGAGAATTATATAGATAATATAAAAATAATAAATGTATATAATATATTAATTTTTTTGAGAAATATGTAAGAAAATATTTACAAAAAAAACAAATCATAAATAACGGACATCGTCTGTACCTAAGTTGTTTGAGTAAGCACATGTCTAATACTGACTTAGAACATTGCTTTAAAATTATTATTAAGATATTTTGTTGGCACAAATGACGTTGGATTGTTTTATATTAAATGTGATTGTGGTTTAAATTTTGAGGAATACGTTGATTTAAATTATGCTAATGATAAAAATAATAAAAAATCAATCACTTTTTATATGTTTACTTATTGTAGGTTTTGTGTGAGTTAGGAGTCTCAATTACAGCATGTTGTAGTATATTGCGATTTTTGAGTGTTAGAAGTTTGTTTCCCCTACTATCGATTATTCGCATTAATTCCTATAACCAAACACTATAATTCTCATAAAGAAAATTAGTAGGTTAGTTCCACAAATAAATTATAAAATCAAAATAATAATAATAAAATAAAATCAATGTTGTAATATAACAAAATATCTGGTGGCTCATATCACAGTTCACTTCGCGTCAATTCCAAATCTTCTAACGAGGCAACACTACAAAGGAAAAACATGAGGATTTCAACACCAAGTAACCCGCAGTCTTACAAAGAACAAGAGGAAGGGATTCAGCAGAACAACTCCAACAACTACCAAGCAAGGAAGAACACCGAATAATCGACACCACATGATAGTTTCTCACTCCCACTCAGCTCCCAACTCTCAAAATGGATAAACCCCAAGAAAAGAGGTAACAACCTTACCTTAATGAGTAAAGGTTCGAAACCGAAGTTGAACGAGATAAGTACCGAGAAAAAGATAAAATCGACAGGGACTGGTTTCAAAGTCGCAAACAGAGCTAGGCCAAGGAGAAGATAGAGCAGATCCGTCGCGGAAAAAAAAAAAGAAAAAAAAGTGAGATCTAATTTTAATCTCATTTCCAAATCGGGTCATGTAAGATTTGGATCGGGTTGGATTTAGCTGTAGGGTCGGTTAGAAACAAAAACTCAATTGAAGCTTTAAAAGAAGCTATTTGGTTAAGGGGCTCTCGTCTGAAATAGATTATTTGAGTCATGATGTTATAGTTTATTCTGATAATTAATATGTAATCTATCTTTGTAAAAACTCGGTATTTCATTATAGAACTAAGCATATTGATGTTCGGTTCTATTTTATTAAAAATATTGTGTCTAAAAAATTGATAAAGTTGAAAAAAAATTCATTTCAATTTAATCTATCAGACAAGGAACTAAAGTGTAATCTGTTTCAAAGATTTTATCTTATTTAAAAAATTTAAATTGTGAATATACATATGAGATGATATTACTTTAGGCTTGTATTATATACAATATAAACTAATTTTGTATTTTATTTTATTTTTTGCAGGTTTAATAAGGCAATGATGATCCTTTACAGTCCTTTCGTGACTTTGATTAAGAAAGAGGTGAAGGATGTATTGAGTGTACTACCTATACCCTCAAATCCAAACCCAAACCCGACCTGCAACCCATATATCCAAAATATGATCCAGTCTGTTTATTTAAATTAGAATTACTTTGATCAAAAATATGTGTTGAGGGTTGAGAAAAAAATTCATTCCTTCATTGACACGCATCAGTCTTAATATGTCTCATTTTTTATCACGGTTTCTTACAAACTCACTTGTGAACCTATTTTCTTGGGTTTTTCCGGCGTGCCTCCGTCGCCTTATATCAAGCTTGTCCCGACGAGCTTTTTTTGAAGCAGTGTAAGTTGTCTGAGGTAAAACTTAGTCGCGAATAAGCGATTCGTATGTTCTTTTCTGTCTCGTCGGTGAATATTTTTGGATTTGTGGTGGGTGTAAATCGTAGGCTGCCTAGTTTGGGATTAGTTTCTTGTATTTTTTTGGCTTAGTCACCTTTTTTTATTGGGTTTATGAAGTGTCTGACCCTTAATTTTTAATAAACCTGTTTTTATTCGAGGTAATATGACGTGAAATTTATAAAATTATATTGTTTGTTGTAGAATTCGAGTTAGATTTGATAATTTCTAAAACGAATATTTGATTTCGATTCTAAATTGTTTTATAACAATATACAACAAATTTTTTACATTATTTATTAAAATTTGAATTTGATTATTCACTATGTACCCGAGATTATAACTTTCTAAACAGATAATAATCTTTTAAAATTATAATATTAAAAAATTTCTATGCAAAATATTACATTTTATATTCAATATTCATTTATATTAGATAAAACATTCAACTTTTTTATTATTTTTAAAATTTTGTCAAATTTTAAAATTTTAATGTTCTTATTTAAACGAAGGCTAATAGTGTGTTCTTTAAAATTTGAATTTAAATTTTATATTTTTAAGATATTATTTAATATATTCTTTATAAATATTTTAAGATATCCCAGGATAAATATAATAATAAATAAAAAAATAAAAAAAATGAGTAATAAGCGGTTAATAATAAACTAGTAGGCGGCTGAGCTGAGCTGAGCCGCGTGGAGACAGCTCGGCGCCAACGAATCCAACTACTTTCCAACCAGAGGATGAAATTGATTTGACCAGAATATGACCGTTAATTTTTAACAGGCTTTCCGCCGGCGTTAGTGCCGCCGTTAAAGCATAGGTGAACAATAATTATCGGTCATCATCATAATCATCATCAGCGGTGTGTGATCCAACGGTTGAGATGGGTTTACGTGTCAATTTACTGTCCTTCAGCGAGCAACCTGTTCAATCAATTCAATTGCACGTTACGTCCAGGCTTGCTTCTTTGTTATCATCATTGTCCCCTTCTCACTCTCACTTGCTCTCAATATTACTCCTCCGCAGTCTACATAATTGGTCTCTATTTTCTATTTTCGTTCGTCCCATATAATTTATCTTTTTTATTTTTTTTAGAAATATAATTATGCACTTTAATCATATTTTAAATTTTAAATTTTAAATTTTCTTAATTTTAATTAAATTATTTACTTATCTTAATCTTAATTTATAATTATTTTTACTAAATAATAATTATTTTTACTAATACACTTTTTAATTACTTATTAATTATATTTTACCTAAATTCTCATGTATCCATATTACATGGGACGGAGGCAGTATCACACAAGATATATATATATAAATAAATTTAAAATAAATAAGCCTAAATTTCAATAATCTCTCTGTTTTTTTTTTTTTTTTATATATACAAAAATTTAGATAATATAAATTAATTATTTAATTATTAAAAGATTTTAAAATATATATTTAAATATTTTTTACATTATATCTTAATAAAAATATATACCATATAAATATTATTTTATACATAATAAAATTTTATATAATACAAATAAATAAAAAAATATTTATCATTATCGTAAATTAATTTTATAAAAAAAATAGAGAATTTTAAGGATAAATAAAAATATTGTTAATTGAAGAAAAATATAAAAATAAAAAAAATTTTAAATAAATTACGTAAGATGTTAGAAATTTAATTAAATTAATTTATATTTGTTAATTATATTTCAAATTTGATAAATTTATTAAAAATAAAAAAGACCATTTATATGAGTATTTAAAATCACTCATAAGTTGTATAACAAATTACATTCTTTATCAAATAATCATTATAAGAATACAATAGTAAATTTTAAAAAGATATTAATGAGGACAAAAAAGATATTACTCCCTCCGTTCCACATAATTTATTCATATTTTTTATTTTTATCCGCCCACATAATTTATCCCTATTTTCTTTTTTCGTCCGTCCCACGTAACTTGTTCTTTCCTTTTTTGGAAATCTGATTATCCACTTTAATTATATTTTAAATTTTAAATATTACTCCCTCCGTCCCGGATAATTTGACCGCGTTATTGTAGACACGAGAATTTAAAAGGGGTATAATCAGTAAATAGTTAAAAATGTATTAGTGAAAATAATTATCGTATAATAAAAATAATTATAGATTAAGATAAAGATAATTTATTAGTATAATTAAAATTAAAAAAAATTAAAAATTAAAATTTTAAAAATAAGATTAAAGCGTATAATTATTTTCCAAAAAAAGAAAGTGACAAAATAAGTGGAACGAACGGAAATGGAAATGTGGACATGAGAAGTGGGACGGAGGGAGTATAATTTTTTTAATCTTAATTAAACTATTTACTTCTCTTAGTCTTAATCTATAATTATTTTTATTAAATAATAATTATTTTTACTAATATACTTTTTAATTACTTACTAATTATACTTTACCTAAATTTTCGCATCTATATAAATATGCCCAAAATATATAGACCGAAAGAGTAAAATATAATGCCTTAAATTTATTGAACATTTCTTAATACTTTGGTTCTGTTTACATTTACTTTTAAAAAATTTAATGATATTTATATTCACTAAACAGTAGTTTTACTTTTTTTTAATCAATTTTAATAAATTTTAATAAAAATATATTATTTTTTCTTATAAAAAATTATCAAAATACTACTCAAATTCAAATTCAAAACAGAATAAATAAATAAATTCTTTTTGTAAAATCCCACGAGCCTCAAGTTGTATATCAGCATTTTTTTACTATTTTTATTTGTCTCATTTAAATGTATTTATTTCTTATAATAGTTAAAAAAATCACACTAATACCATAATATAAACTACAATCATACTATTACACATATATATAATACAAATATCACATATATCAAAACTATCTTACACACCTTCACTGACTAATAAAATATTATCATTTTGTAATTTACTATAAATACCCAAAAGAATACGTTCATAGAATATATCAAAAATATAATTTTTGACATCAAATATCTATTTTTAGCCACAAAATATCACATAAGATATTCAATATTTTAATATTCCCCAAAATTTTTAAGGATAAATTATATAACAATTTTAGTAAAAATGCACTTATTTATTCCCCTAAATTACGCAAATTTTATACAAATAAAATATTTTAAATAATTTTTTTGCATTAAATAAATAAATAAATAATTTATTAATCCTTCATTTTATAATTTTTGAAGACAAATTATTGTCTGATTTTTATAAAAATTATAAAAATAAATGATTGATCGATTATTTATTTATTTATTTTATTTAAAAAAAAATATTTAAATTATTTTTTATTTTTTATTTGTATAAAACTGACGTAATTTAGGTCTTTATTTCGAACCAAACAAGGAGGGTGTTTCATGCAAACTTTCCATTAACACAAGGATTTCACGCAATAAATGTGCATTTTTAGTAAAACACAAGGTTTTGATATATAATTTACCCAATTTTTAAAACTTAGAAAATCTTACAAAAATCATATCTAAACACTAACTACATTTCCTCCCACAATTTTATTTTATTTTTTTGGTCAAAATGAAAGGTAGGAAAGAAAATAAATAGGTGGTCTCAACTAACCTGAAAAGAAAGTATTACTAATAATTGATGCCTATATATTACTTCATGCTTCAAAAGACAAGTCACAAAATCAAAGCAAATGAGATATTAAAATAAATGATCAAGAAAATCATTCAACAATAGTTAGCTTAAAAGAAAGTGACAGTATGGGCCTAAAGAATGTTCAATTTTCCACACTGAAAAGACATACAAGAAATAAAATAATGAAAAAACGAAACATGTATATACTAATGATTTCCAGATGGCCCAAGAAAATAAAATAAAATAAAAGCAGTAAGAACAGCCAACTAATTTAATTTAGAAGGTTTTGATTACATCCTAATCCAAGTCAGACTTGTAGCTATAAATTCAACTCATTTGCCAAACTCAAAGTTTATAAAATATAATTACCAAAATTGGCAGATACAGAAAATTGTGAAATATTCAAACCAAGTCAGAGGTCAGTATTGTGATGCTTATTTGATTTTTGTAGAATAAGACAGATCTAAAAATCAATTATCAATGATGATATATATGTCGCAAGACTTGTTAATTCTCAATCTGCTGCTACAATGAAAATGTAAAATGTAATAGTGAAGGGAATGATACATTTGTTACCTAATTATTTATGTAGCTCATGGATTGTGCTTGTAGAAAATATGAATCTTTGTACTTTCTAGCACTCGGTATATGAACACCGTTTCGGATCCAATCCTCGCGGTGTATCCAGGCATCGCGAACATAATCAAGGATTCCCAGTATCTGCAACAAACATTTCATAGAAAGTGAATAGGAATGTGTGTGATTCAAAATTCAATCACTCAGAAAAATTGTTTGTAATCTACTTATGGTTTGAAAATTGTGCACAATTGTTTCTTATGATTTCAAAATCGGCTCCCTCGTATTTTAGAAAATATTGTATAGAATCCTTTTTGTGTTCTAAAGATTCTGTGCAGTGTTTTAGAAAAAAAAAAAAACCACAATAGAGTCTCACGCAATTTCTAGAGAATTCTATACAATATTCTCAAAAATGCGATGGAGTCTTGTGCAGTTCTTAAATCATAAGGGAGTATAAGGCAGACTTTTCAAATTATGGGTAGATTACAAGCAATTTTGCCTAAGTAATATCAAATACTTGATTCAAGAGTTGCAAATTTGTATTTGCACTGACGGAATTGAGGATATTTCTCAAAGGCACCATTGCTCGCATATGTTTTGTGCAACCACAAGATTATTTTTTGGAATCATCAAATTATGGAAAATACTTACAGCTCCACCTTTCCATGGCACGAATGCAGGGTTTGTTCTAGATTGCAAGACCTGTCATGTTACAAAATCAAATTAAAGAGCTTTGAGCCGAAATCAAAGGAAAATGAAATATAAAATGATAACCACCAGCATAATAGGAGTCATGGGCGTTGCAAAAATCAATGACAAAAAACAATACCTTTCTGTATTTGGGATTATTATTTCTTTGCAACATAGAGAACTAAGAAATGAGTCGAGTAAATATGGTCTCATGAAAGTTGAAACTAAAAGCATCTACATTTAGAACATGACATGGATAGAATATGCACTCATATTATAATACATTTGTATGAAGGGAAATGGACCAACCTCCACAGTATCAATGGCCTCATGGGAAGGAATTGCGTGCAATACTCTGCAAACGAAAATATGAAGAAAAGAAATGATGAAGAGCTCTAGTATAAAATTGATAGTAATAATAATATTCATAATGATGATCGGAAACTTTTTGCTATATAAGCAACTGAAGCATAAAGAATGCAATATTTTCATTTCACTCAGTCGCCTAACTATTATTATTCAATTACGAAAAAGAATGATGGGATTTAAACTAACTAGTGTAACAAACCTCTCTTCAACAGCAGAAATAAGACCCTCTGTCATGGCCACTCCACCTATCTGAAGAATTGAATCATGTCATCAGCGTTGACTTGGGTATCAATTTCAAAAGTTAAGACGAAGGTAGGACTCACCAATTGCATGCTACAGAACAATTTTCTCTGCAGATCTATACGCCCTGTAAAATTTAAATTCAACAAAAGTAAAGCACAAGCAAATACACTTCAATAGAAAGATGAATGCAAAATATACCTGTTGAAAGAATACTTTTTGTGATGGCGTCAGCAAGTCCAATGCAATCCTGCTTTTTTGGCTTTGAGTGAAATATAGGGTAGTTATCCCACATCGGAAAATAACCACCACCACCAGAGAAGTAACCATCCGACATGTCTGATCTTCTGGAAAAATCCCACGTTTCTTCCAGCATGTCCTCATTGTCACTGAACCTGGCGATGCAGATTAGATTTATTAAGATGGGACATAAGAGTTGATGAGTCTAAATATATCCAAACTGGAGAGTGAACCTACTTGTAGCTTACCATGTCCGAGGCGGTGGTGGATAAACATCCGGAACCAAAAGCATTGGGTAGAACAAACCCATTGGAGGAACCTGGTCTCATTAGAGAATATTCACAAATTTATTGACCAGTCACGAGTTACAACCATCAAATAATTATAAAAATCTTTCCAACTTCAGGGGTCTCACGACTAGACATTGCCTTGGATTACACTTTCTATGAGAATTAGTTTGTCCTCACTACTTTAGGCAATTGGCAGTATATAATACTATCAACTTCATCGTCAAAGACTTAGACAGAACTTAATGAGCACTGCCTATCAAATATTTCATTAAACTAAAGTCTACACATCAAAAAGCATCAAGGTCGTGATATCAATAATGACTACAGCAACATATTTCAGAAACAAAAGGACAAAGTAAATGTCAATACAATTCCACGAGGTACGGGAAGAATTTATCAATTAAAATCAAGATTTTACTTTATTTAACACCATTGTAATATTCAGTTTGACTCACATTAAGCGCAGTTAGTCTTGTCTTGTGAAATCCTGGTGGTGCACCATGTTCATAAGAGTGGACAACTGCAAAAGCTTCAACTTCACCTTCCTGAACACAGCATAAAAGATAAGTAAATTGTGATTTATCTCCAGGAGAAAATGTGATGAACTCACTCTGATCTGGCAGTGAGACACTCGAAGCTGATTCAGCATCAACAAGTCTATGGGCCTTGTCAGAGGATCAGTGCGGATTGCTGGCCATGTCTGATGATGCCTCTGAGTCCAAAGAAGACATCTTGATATATCCTGAAATATGTTCTCACAGTGAGAGTATTCAACTAAAATGCTATCTGCGAGAACAGCAAAAGTATTAAACACAGTTATGTAATCACCGGAAGTTAAGAGCAAACAAGACTTAAATATCAAATCAATCATTTTGACATGTTATCATTCTGTATGATTTTTCATACATAGATTGAATCGCCAAGAACTTTTAGTGAAAAATTGGAAAGAAAGAACAAAGATAAAGAAAAATAACAAAGTGCAAACACACTAAGTGAAAAGAATCAAGTAAGTTACAACCTCTTCAAACAGCAGATTAAAATTATAGAGTTCATTTATGTCTGAGCACGTTGAAGGGCATTTACGGAACTTTATCCATCGATAGTAGCTTTAAGAATGTTTCTTTCAGATATATAAAAAAAATAAAAAATAAAAAGAATGAAGTGAACATGTCAAAATCAGGAACCTGATCCTCACCTCTCCACCATATCGTAGAATAATCTGAGTAGTAGGCAGTGCCACTCCATCCTAAATATCAACAGAAGAGTGATCAAAGCAAATAACAGAAATCACTCATTCATGTAACTGTATTATAGACAATAATCAAGGTTGTTTGTTTTCCCATTTGCCACACCCAGTGGCAAAACTATGCGCAGTAGTAGTTTAGTGCCTGCAGCTGCTGAAATATGGTAATATTTATACCGAGGAAAATCATCCAAAAGCCACTGTGATTTTAGATATTTAACCAGAAAAACTATGTATCATATCTAATTGTTGCCTCAAGGACACAAGCATCCATATCAAAAAGTCCCCTGAACAGACAGAACAAAATCACACAACAGATGTAAGTGACAACACACCTCAATGCAGATAACTGAAGTAACTTGAGCACCAATATTCACAACACATGCTGTTGATAAACCATTCCCAAAAACTGCAGCAAGGCCTTCCTGCATTATGCCTCAAAAGAAATATTTAAAAGATATTCATATATATATATATATATTTAAAAAAAGAAAAACAGAAAAAGTGGCAAGACAGTATTAAGTATAGTATAAGTAAGATACTATATGTGAAAATGATATAAGTGATTCTTAAAGAACGGTGACACAGTAACTTTATCAAGAATCTTCAAGAAATTTTCTCAAGGAAAACACTACCTGGTGGACCACTGCTGTGTTGAAATGCAAGTCTCTAAGAACAACAGATATAACTTCCTTCATTTCTGTGTTTAAAATATAATATCCACCAAACATATCAGTTCCGCATTATATGCCAAGACTCAAGCATATAAAAAACTAAACTTTGCCATCGACTCTTAAACACTTCAGAATATATAAAAGAATGGCCAACATCCAGTTAAGCGTCTGAGTCTTCCTACCTCCATTCAAACATATCCCTAAACCTAGTATTTGATGGTTTATTTATAGGAGCTGAGACTAACTATAAATCACAATCTCGAAATAGGATTTACTTGCAAAACAACAGATCGTAATATCAAGCAAAACAAAATATTAATTAATTCTAAGAGAGGACTCAATTGGGCTGGAACCCACCCTTCTGCATCACATCATAGAATTTTCCCAAGATTACTTGTACTCAACTGTAAGTGAATTGAGTTAGTGCATATAAGAGCAGAGCACCATACGTCCAGGAATGCAATGAAAATTAACAAACTAAAAGAGAGAGAGAGAAAGAGGTAATAATGCGCAATTTGACAAATGATCAGCAAGATAAAAGCATATATATCACAATTACCGCGGTTATCAAAAGACTCTGGAACAACAATAACTGCAGAATACATGTGTCTTTCACTAGGAGGTATGTGCAGTTTTTCAGTCAAAACCCAATCCCAGATACAATGCATGTCTTCAATTACCTGAAAAATAAGGCAGGGATGCACAGAGATAAATGTTGAATAACAACTTTAAAAAACATTATCATGTAATTCTAGCATTTCACAATATTTCAATTTGCACTCCAAGAACACCATCTTTAATAAAATATGCATTTAAAGTTTACTAAAGTTAAAATCACAAGAACAAATGTAAGCAAGCAAGATGGCTTCACAGCCACAGTAGACATTCTTTCTACAGAGCTCTAATAACACATCAACCAAGCCTTCCCCAATGGTGCAGAACATATAGTGCCCAAAACAAGTTCATGTAGTAAAAGGACAATAGATCATCAAAGTAAGGGATAACTCGTGGGTGATACCTGCTGCGCCGGATAATACATAGAAATATTGAAGTGACCTCTTCGAATAGGTCGTCGCAAACAATATGGTTCATTAGGTGGTATTCGGAGAGCCTCCTCACCAATGATATACTCTCTATACTTAGGTTCAGTTGAACTGGGGCCATCATCAACATTATCTTCATTTTGGGTAGAAGACTCCCCCAATCTCTGCGAACTTCCTGTAACAAGGTTAACTGGAAGTGAAAATTACTAAAAATTAGAAATGATAAAGGATGTCAGAGAGAAGCATCAAATTGCACCTCCTCACAGTATTTACATATCCAGGTTGTCATATGTAGAAACATGCATTCATTTCCAACAACATTTCCACATACTAACACTACATCACATTATGCATGTATTAGCTTCATGGCATGTTGTTCCCTGGTATGGTTAATCATGCCAGTCATGATATTTAAGTAGCAAAATTTATCCTGTTTAGTGTTGATGGCATCCCTTATGGGACACACTAATATGATTTCAACTCAGATCCACATAGAATCAGTCGGGCATTATTCTTCTGTCTATATAATCTTGAGGCTTTGCATTAGCAAGTTCCAAGGGTATGAAGAATGGTTCTAAAATGGTAGTATCAAAAGAAAACAGTCATTCCATTGTTCCTTAGTTGCAAATATGCACTGTGAGTGGTGGTGCTATTAATTGGTTGAGGCTAGAGAAACTAAAGAAAATATATATATATATATCAAAAATGGATATGAAACACTGCTGCAAATTTACAAATAGCTGCTCTCCGCAATGAGACATGGGGTTTGGATCTCACATCAGTGTCATGAGGTGACAATGTGAAATTTTTATATTGCACTGGAGTATCAAAATAAATTATGTAGTTTTTTACACGAGCCAACCAAATCCCTTACCCTAGTAGCTTCATTTGTTGGGTTGGGGCGAGGGTAGTGCTTTGATACCAACCGGGAGTAAAGTAACCAAGTTCAGTGAAATTCAGTTTCATAACAAGCTAAAGTTAAGTCAAAATACACTACAGATGCTCTAGAAAGTAATAATTCATATAGGACTGTATAAAGCTATATTAATCGAAACATTTGGACATATATACCTTCTACTGAAGATGAAGATGTTCCTTTCTCGAACACATCAGTCCATGGAATAACTGTATCCTTTTTGCTATTACTTTGCTGAGGAAGCGCATCCACACGACCCATCTGACAAGAACCACCCGAACATTTCAATTATCAAAATCAAGTCATTTAAAACAAGGAATCTCCAACTAAACAACAAAGTAGATACATCATTTCCAGTTAGCCATACACCTCAAAAACCTAAACAATTACCTTTTGTGGATATTGACCGTTCATCACCTCCTCGTCCAGAAATCGAATTTTCAACAAAGATGCAATCTGATCATTTGAGACATGAAAAAGGAACATGAAACCTAGAAAGATTTAACATGGCCAATTCATTCCATAATTCGAGCAATTCAGTTCATCTATTTAATCAGTTTACTAACAATGTCATAAGCCCTTTCACGCTCCATGTGCTGCACTGTGGTAATCTGAGAATTAAGCAACTGCACGCAATATTTTTTTAAAAGCACAAGAATCAGAAAATTGCAACAAAAACCAAGACTTAACACTAAAAATCAAAAGAAATTTGAAAGAACAACAGCAACCTGGTCCTGAACATTTTTTTTAGGAACCTGCGATGTTCGTCTAGCAATGCAATGCGGGACGCTAATCGGGCAATCCTGCTGTGCCAAACCTATTCTTACATTGGCTGAGCCTAAATTAACCATCAGAAACAAGGAAATTCAAAAAAAAAAAAAAAAAAACACATATAAACCAACCCTAGTATTGTACGCTACAGAGAATTTTAAATAGAAATCACAAATTGCTTTCACAAATATCGCAAACCTGGGTTGATGACGACTAGGTTGGAGCCACGCTCCGCAATGAGTTGTGAGGGCACAACTGTCTTGAGATAATCCTGTGCGCGTCAAAGTTCAATACAAACCATAAAGCATCAGACGATACTCTAGAGAATTTACCACTGTGCATCGTGGGTGATTTAGCGCTCACCATGGCAGACACTTGCAAAGCTTCAAGGATTTGAGTTCGTGAGAGTTGCTCCTTTCCTTTTTATCGTTTAAAAGCGCTCTTCACGGTGTCTCGTGTTTTCTTTTTAACGACTACATAAATTTTATTTCATAAAATATTAAAAAATTAAAAACATAAATAAAAAGAAAAAAAAAGTACAACTGAATACACAAATCATAAAATAGTAAAAAAATAAAATAAAAAATAATCCCAATATAATCCTAATGTATCACTTTTGTTCATAGAATAAAAAATTTATCAATTTTAGCGCTACGATCATATAAAATTAAACATGATTGTGAGTTTTCAGCTCAACTGCCACATTAACCCCCGTTACATGCACGTCAGAATTTTCCCTTAAAATGTATACTTTATTCACACACTGTCAAATTAAATATATACTCGGATTCCCACGTCATAAATATATATATATATATACACTCCACACTTAAAAATAATTTTGCTAAACAAATTCCATAATTAATTTATAACAACAATAGGCTATAGTCATTCAACACAAACTTCAATAAACCTAATGGAGTTACCAAAATTTATTATAACATAAATTAATTCAAGAAAAGCATTGAATACCAGCAACTCCATCAGCATAGCTTCTAAGAAATCTGGGGGAAAAAAATTACAAACACTAAAGAACATTCTAAGAAAATCCTCATTAATTCTAATCAAATTCCAACTTCAAAAAATTAAAAATTCCCGCAGAATTTTGCTTTTTCCGAGCATTCAAGCTGTTTTCGACTTGGGCGCCTTCTTCCTCGGTTGCCTCCTCGAAATAGAGCTCTTCATTCCGAGGAAGTAGAGCAATGCGCCGAGGAGTGCCAGACACTGCCAAGAAAATTTAAGAATTACTTGCGTGCAATCACAAGAATCGAGCAATTTCTTTGCACAGATCGACATGTTACATACCTCTACAAACCCGTTCAAAAGTTTCAAGAATTTTGGCTCGCCGGCCTTGTAGTTGTAGAAGTCGTGCAAAAAGGGAGTGGTTAAGATCAGGTAATAAATCTGCGGCGTTGAGCAGAAGAGTGGATTAAGATTCACTGTTATTTTGTAATTCGGTTCAAATCAAAACATATACTATTCAGTCTGTACAATTCCAAAAAAAAAATAATCCCTCCGTCCCAACAAAATGTACTTTCTTATTTATTCAGATTTTCTTTCCTTCCAAAAGTATCAAATCAAACAATTACTTTTTATTTTTTATATTATACTACAAATTTATTTTACATTCTAGATGTCATATCAATATTTATTTATATCACATCAAATAATTATTTAAATTTAACTTTTTACTATTCAAAAATTCAAACCTAAAAAACCCAAACCCACAAACAAAGACACCCTATTATTTTATTAGTCAATAAAAGTACGTAAGATAATTTTGATATTTTTTCTTTATAAGTACAAAAGAAATAAATATTTTTGTAAAAATTAAAGATATTTTGGTGTTTGTATATGAATTACTTTTACTATAATATAAATGAGTAGAGCTGTTAAATGAATCGTGCCGTTCGTGAACTCGGCTCGGTTAAAACTCGTTCACGAACGTTAACGAGGCAAGCCGAACAATATAAATAGGCTTGTTTGGTTAACAAACGAGTCCGAGTTTTGCTCGCGAACGTTCGTTTAAATAATGTACTTATTATAAATATTATATATACATATTAAATTATAATTTATAAATAAATAAGATATTGATTTAAAATATATATATATATAAAATAATTTTAATTTTTTTTAATTTATATATAAATTTAAAAAAGTAAGACAAACGTGCTCGAACGAGCTTAATCGAATCTAAACAAATCAAACACGAACACGAGCTCAAACAATAAAAATTCTTAACGAGCCAAGCTCGAAAGCTTAAAGAATGAACACAAGTCTTGTTCGCAAACATTAACGAACATTTAAAATTTGACTCAACTCGGCTCGGCTTTGCTCGTTAACAGCTCTATAAATGAGATACTTTTGAATGGAATTGAAGAAAATGGTAAAAACATTGAGCTGGGACTAAAGTAACATGATTTTATCTTACAAAAATCACATTAAAAATACCCCTCTGTCCGTCAATTTACAAAGGAAGTGTGTATAAAATTGATAGAGAGTGGGATTATTCAAAACTATAACTCAAGCAAAAAACCGAAACTCAAACCAAAAACCTAAATTCAAAACAAAACCAAACAATCATGTAATTTTTTTGTAAAGATTTTGCCGTGGCGTGGATGGAAAATCTTACCAGAAGATGAGCGCCGAAGTTACTGCCGAACACAAATAGTATGCCGCCCAATCCCTTCAGGAAAATACAGGCACCAACGAACGCCTTTGCCTGCAAAAATTATATACATATCGATTATGAATCAGCAAATGGCAACTAAATAAGGAAGAGTATAAGATAAGCTTATTGGAGGTTTGTTTACATCAATATGAAAATTATTTTTTCCAATTTTTCCATCGATGTACTTCTTGAAAACAGCCAATTTTGGAGCCCATTGTTTTGCTGCAGGTCCACCGTCTGATCCAAACTCGTTGAACCTGGAAACATTAAACAAGAGCAAGCCCAAACATGATGTTTCCCGACAAGGATTTATATCAAAATCTAGTTTCTGTGTACATACATATTGGTTTAAAGTTTTGACCCTATTTATCAACATAAATTTTTTTTCAAAAACATTACGCCAAATACTTATTCACTCACAAAACATTATATCAAATACTTGTTCTCAGTCACAAAACATTACGTCAAATATTTATTCTTTCTCATGAAACATTACATCTAATACTCATTCCCAATTTTTTCCGAACTCCTAAACTTCAAAAATCTCTATGGAAACAAAATTTTTGTGGAAAAAAATGAGGGAGCAAGAATATGCAGTGTATCGATGCATTCTAACATAAATAAATATTTCTACTGTAACATTTCCAAAAGGCAAGGAGTGTTGTCTGTGTTTTCGAATCTGTTCGCACCATGTAATTTGCCGTAAAAATTATGGTTTGTTTGTACATTTCCATCCGGTCTCATAGTATTTATCACTTTTTCTTTTACCATTTAAAAGCGTCACTTCAAACATTTAACTTTTATTCAAAATATTACATTAAAAATTCATTATCCATTTAAAACACTACATTAAATACCTATTTATCATATAAAAAACCTATTTCGATTCAAATTTTACTATTCTCAAACTTCAAATAAAAAAAAATAATAATAATAAAAAATCATGTACAACACTTTTTTTTTTATTATTTTATTTTAGAATATCACATCTAAAACTTATTATCCCTTTAAAACATGACATCCAACTCTCTTTTTCTATTCAAAATAGCATATCTAAATCCTACTTTCCATTTAAAAAATCAAATCCAAAACAGTCGCAAATATGCAAATCACTCCAAAATACAAACAAACACAAGTATTTGAACTTAAATCGCATCCGGTGTTCCACTATCATTATGCATAGCCATAATGTTGTCATTAACCTAACATATTGAATTGTCATGACAGCAATCTATGCCAAGTGTTTCCTTACAAATCCCAACAAGAATAAAACATCCATAATGCTTTGCTGGTATCTTAGATTCTTAAACAAAATCGCCAATCCGCCGCAGAAGAACTTATAGTTAGATCGGTTCATTAATTGCCATTCAATGCTGTAACAAACTTTTCCTAAGTCCCATATCCTACCACCTACCGTAAATACTAGCAGCGTAACAGACCAGATCAAAGCAAAATTAACAACAATTTCAACTTGCATAGAGAAGATCACGTTCATCAAGAAAGGAAAAGTGGATCATCATCACATCATCTCAAACTTAGCCTTCGATTACAAATAAAGAACCTTCCATACGAAATTGGCAGCATTTCTCAGAGCCAAAACCATAAGAAGCTGCTGCATATATATAGAGATACAGACTCAAAAATCACACAAAAATGCGAACAGGTAAGGCAAATCCCAATTTGATATAACAAAATCATGTTCAAGAATATTTCATCAACAATTACTTGATTTCCTCAAGAACAATCCCCAAAAATCCGATTCCTAAAATCGAAGGGCGAATTAAAATGCAACGGAAACAGCCTTAACAGAACATCAAATATATATCTAACGAATTCATTTCCCACACAATATTATCATTCCAATCCTTTCCAGCATCCGAATACATCTAAACTAAACACGATAGAAAATCAGAATCAAAACCAAGCTCATACAAGGAACACAAACAAACGGAGCTAGATCTGAAATACGACGCCACACCAACACTTAAACGCAGCAGATTAGATTATGCACAGACGTTAGATCTGATCACAGAGAAAGACAGTAGAAACACAGAATAAACAGAAAAAGGGGAAATTAAACATAATGGGTTAAATTAATTGCGAGCTCGAGAAGAGGGGGGATTGATTACAGACATTTGCCATGCGGAGAGGATGAAGACAGAAGCAAAGAGCAGTCTTCCAAGGAATGAAAAGAAACCCATTTGGAACTCGTCGTCTCCTTCCCTTGGCGTCTGGCGAGGAAGAACAGATGGAGATGCGATGGACGGACAAATGGGGAAGGAAAGGAATTTGGGAATTTGAGGAAGGATTAAATTGTAATTTCACTTTTAATAAATCAGTTAACCTATATCTGCATTCAGTGGTTTTGATTGGGTCCTGTGTATATTTTCATATATATTTTTTTAAAATTCAATTTAAAATATATGATACTTCATCTTTTAACCTAACTTTATGCTATTTTTTTGTACTTAAAAACTTTTTTTTCAGTAGAAAATTTTATACCACATTTTGTACTTTTTAACATAAAAAAATAAAAAAGTAACAAAATATATAAGTATATATTAAAATTTATGCCTAAAATTTGAACACATTTTTAGGTGGCAAAGAAAGTAGTATTTATTATTCTTTTTCGTTTATAAATTAATATCCTATTTTTTTATTTAAAATACTTGTCAAAAATTTTGATCGTTCAAGAGTTGATACAACAAGTCATTCAACAATATTGAAATTTGATTTACTATTTAGCCCGACCCACTAGACTTTGCTCAAACTTTTTAATCCAAATTCATATTTCTAAACTCAAGCCCATTTAATTAGATTAGATTGGAGAGTGGGTGAATTGGGAAATTATTGAATAAAATATATTACTGTTCTGAATTGATTATTTGTAATCTTTGTAAACACAATCTTTGTGATTATGTTCTATATGATTGTTATCTATGAGTGAGAATATATATATATTATGATATTTCGGCCCGTAAACTACGTGAAGCCGAGTATGATTTTTGTGATTATTTTCTATGTGATTGTTATCACTCTAGCCCGCAGCCACATGAAGTCGAGCATGTCGAGATCGTAGACTGGTCCCCACAGGTCAATACGAATCCTTATAGTGTGCTTCTGATTACTTTAGAGCAAGCATGCTTAACTGTAGAGTTTTTTCAGTAGGGCTTCCGAAAATGAATGTACACATTGTTGACATAAGTAGTCTATTCAATCATTTAACTTATATTCAACCTCGGATGGTCTGACACCACCTCATCCATAAGAGTTGGCCTAGCATCGGCCCAACTCTGGAGTATTACATGTGTATTCTTTCTTGGTGTTCCTTCATGGATGTTTTGCGTTTGTGTTCTGGGTATTCTTAGTGTTAATATTAAGTTGAACTAGGTTCATGAGTGGTTGTGTCTCTGAAGATCTTAGTGGTAGTGGACAATTGATATAGATTCTTAAAATGTAGGAATTTGTGCTTAAACGGTAGAATTTTATACTTAGGTAGTAGAAAATAATGGCTATACAGCAGTGTACTTAAGTTGTAGAGTTGTGTGTCTAAGTTTTACTTTGTGTCTAGAGATGTATGTTCTCTAGTTGACGTCAAATAAAATTGAGCTCCTATTGTATGATTCTATATTTTATATTTGACATGTAATTGCATTATTTTTGTGGATATGCAATACTGGAGTGTGGACTAGCTTGTATGCTCGCTTATAATTTATAGGTCCATTTTGTTGAATCTATTTAAATTTGCTTGTGTGCTTGTTTTGTAGTATTTATGCATACTACGTGCTAGGCTGATCGTGTGTAGGATCTATGTGTTCTGCATATGTTATATTTAGTGTGCATAAAATTTGTTTGTATGCATATGTTATGTTTAGTGTGCATAAAATTTGTTTGTAGATGCAATGAGAAACAAAATGTGATAATAAAATTCATCAGTGCATGTAAGTCTATATATCTATATAATTATGTATTTGGAAGTTGGTTAAATTACAGCAAAAATATAAGGATAATATTAGAAATTTTAATCGTTCGAAACCTAATCTAACGAATCCTTAGTAATATTGAAATTTTTGGTATTTTTCGGTATGATATACGTGATATTTCAAAATTTTGGTATTTTCGGTATGACATGCATGATATTTCAAAAAACAATTAAAGGTAAAAAAATCTTAATGTATTCAACCAACCAAAAAACTTCAAATAGGTTCCATAGTAATATCTATTTTACACACTAAAAAATTAATAATTTAATATAAAATATTACAAGGGGATCGGATGCTCATGTTGATCCTTTAAATTAAATAATATATATTATTATGTTAATTATATTATTTTATTATATAAATTAAGATAATTAAGATTTACTTAATTCAATACCTAATCCTCCTTCAAAATATTACTACTCTCTCTCAATACAATAGTTTTGTTTACCATTTTTGTCTGTCTCAAAACAGTAGTCCCATTTCTATAAATAATTATATCACTATAAAACTATCTTTACTTTTTTATTATTATTACACAATTATCACTACTTTTTACACTAATACACTCACAAGGGCAATAAAGTCTTTTACTAGTACTTTTTACCCTTTCACACGAGCCGGACTATAGTTTTGAAATAGATGAAGTATTATTTATTTTACGAACACTTTCACATACTTAATATAAAAACACTTCAAACTAAACAAAAAATAAACAAATACTTCCTAAATAGATTAATTTTAATTTGTTGGGGAAGTGATTTATCGAACAAAACACATTCGAATACTTTAAAGGGCCAACTCCCGAAGCGTGGGCGGTTCACAGTTACAACTACGTTTCAACAACGAAAAACAATGCAGAACATAAAACAACAATAAGACAAGGTGTTTATTGACCCGGTTCGATTATCAACCAATCTACATCCAGGGATACCAATACTGGAGGAATTCCACTAACCAGTGCTGATTAAGGACATAAACAACCACAACTCATTTAACTTTAATGCTAGTCATGACTAACCCAGGAAAATACCTCTTAAGGTTCTCGTTGCTACAACCTCGTACTAACAACGATCACACAACAGAGAATTCCAGAGCTTGATCATTTCCTCCGGTTGGAATTCCATTAATTCCGAACACCTTCGACCTCTCCGGCGAATTTTTCTGTCAAAAACTCATTCAAAACTAAATGGAATCGATATGGATAGATGGATGAGAGCTTCACTCAATATTCTTCTCTCTTAAGTATGATCTCCAAATCACATATTACCAATCTTCAACCCTATCCGATTGAATAAATCACTCACATTCCTAGAATAAACAGAAATTAAGACACCATTAGTTCATATGCTAAAATAACTTAGGGAATTTCCATTCACATGATTGGTTAAGTTTTAATTGTTATTATATTTGTTAATTTTTTATTTTTTTTTTAGAAAATGATATAATTAAATAAGATAGACAAATAAATAAATAAATTGACATAATTAAATGAGAGGGAATGAGTACTTAAAATTTAAAAATCCAACATAATTTTAAATTGAATACAACCTACTCAATTTGCATGCGGTGAGCACAAGATATTTTATATTGGGTGTGTTTACTTGAGATTTTTTTTTATTATTTATTTTTATTTTGAATAGTAAAATTTTGAATTGAAATAAATATTTGACGTGATATAAATATGTATTGATATAATGTTTTGAATATAAAATTAAATTTTAATGTAATATATAACAAATAAAAAAAATAGATGTTTTAATTTGATATTTTTAAAAGAAAAAAAAAAGTTAAAAATATCAAAATCAGATGAAAATTTGTACAAATAAACACACCCAATTATCTCAATCCTAACTCAAAATATAGTAGTATTACCTACATAATTAATTTATATATAAAATTGAAAGATAAAAATATCAATTTTTTTTATATATTTTTATTAAATAATAAAATATTACTTCCTCCGTCCACTTATAAGTTTATATTTACCTTGGGCATTATTGTATTTAAATTAAAAATATCCTTCTATTTGTATAATTTTGTGTATAAATATAGTTCTATTAGTATTATAAAATACTAATAAAAATATTTTTTTTTAATTTGTACTATATTTTAATATAATAATTAATATTAAAAAATTAATTATAAAAAAAAATAAGTGGAAGAACGAAATATTATTTTTTAATATATTACAAAAATAGGCCGTTAGAAAAGAGATTATTTATTTACTGATGAGATAAAATCCAAACAAAAACAAACACATCCCCAAATAACCCAACCGCTTTTGACCTGAATCAACAGTTTCCCTTCTTCGTCTTCTTCTTCTTCCTCATGGCCGATTCTCTGCAAACCCTACCTCCTCATCAATCCATTATCTGCCATGGACGCTCCTAATTCAAGCATCCCCAACAACCTCCACAAATTCACTACCAAACTCCAAATCGCCGCCGGATTCCAGACCAAAGTCCACAAAGCTACCAAATACCCTCCCGATTCCCCGCCATAGCCATCAAATCCATCGAATTCCTCCCCTTCACCGCCGATTCCAAATACCTCCTCCGCGAAATGACCAAAATGCACCTCCTCCACCACTCCAAGCTCCTCAAACCCTACCACGCCGTCGGCGGCGCCGAATAATTCGTCGTCACCATGCCCTGGCTTTCCGCCGGATCTCTCCAATCTCTCCTCAATCCCTCCTCCCCTAACGGCCTACCGGAGGACCTCATCGCCGCCTTCCTCCGCCATGTCCTCGAAGCTCTCGTCTACCTCCACCGCGAAGGAATTCCTCACATGGGCATCAAACCAGGTAACATTCTCATCGATTCTAATGGCGTCGCTAAATTGGCCGATCTCTGTTTCAATTCCTCCGTCTACGAGAGTCGCCGCCGTGATCCTGGACCTTCGCCCCCCTTCGCCATGGAAGTTTCTGGAACTCCTTACTGGATTTCCCCTGAAGTTCTTAAATCACCAACAGAATTCCCTACCAAATCTGATATCTGGTCTTTCGCCATTGTCGCTATGGAATTAGCCTACGGAAGGTGTCCTGTCTCCGAAATCCCCAATTCCGGATATCTGAAATTCAGAATCGCCAAGAGATTCCAGTTTTCCGATCACTGCAGGACGCCGCCGGCGCCGGAAATTCGCTGCCAAGAAATGTCCGGCGAGTTCAAGAACATGGTCGGATTATGCCTCGACGAAGATCCTTCGAAAAGGCCCTCGCCGGAGCAGTTACTGTTGCATCCATTTTTCAAGAAATCCAAGGGTTCCGATTTCGTGCTCGGTTTTTTAAAGAGCTTGCCGGAGTCGGAGAATCCGGCGATCGCCGGATGAGGAGACTATCGAGTCCTGCATCGCGTCGGTAGACGAGGTTCCGAAATTTTACGGGTGGAAGTTCGATCAGAGGATCTTTAAATTGGTCATGGGGATGGAACTTTTTCTGGTGCTTCACCGATTTCGACGTCTCGAAACTCCCGATAAATGAATATGGCGGTAGCTACAGTGCTGACTCAGACAAAGACGTGCGATCGCGTTTAGAGATAATGCAAAAGACTTGTGACGAGCCAAAGGCGCGGCTGCGGAAACTGATCGAGTTAATAAAGAAGTACGAGTCGAACGAGTGCGACATGCGGAATACGATCGCAGATCTAAAAATCGCAGTTCGACGAGGAACGGGGAAAGCGATTCGACCTCGACGAGTGTTAGAACCGGTTTCGATGTTGTCGAACATTCAATTTTAGAAGCGATAACTCGTGTTTTTTTCGTCGAACATTTACAGGAAATTGAAACGAGAATCCGACGGTTGGATTTAATCCCGATTTGCTGATAAAAAAACGGCTACACATACAGCAGCAGACATAATGGTAACGAAGGGCGAAACTCTCCCCTTGTCTTTCCTAAACAACATTCCTTCGAGCAACGGGAAATGCAAAACCACGCCGTATAACGGTAACAGCCACTGCCCGAGCGTCGAGCCCGTCCCATCGCCATCTCCGTTCAGGATTCGCCGTAAGCCAACCGCGAACGACGCGACGTTCAGCGCGTAAATGCTGCACAACGGAACCATGAACGCCGCTGACGCTCGGAAGTCGTACAATCCCATCCGGTATCGCTCCTCTTGCTCGCCGTCAACGACTTTATTCGTCGGCGAGAAATTCGCTGCCCGCATCCCAATTTTCTCCAAAACGACATCGGTCGTCGCGTACAGGTACGGCGCCAGCGAATGGAACATCCACATTCGTTGCTCGCCGAGCCACGACCTGATCGAATGCCCCGTCGACAACACCTCTTGCATATGCTTCGCTTGCGACGAGAAGAAAACGAACAAGAACACGCCGAAGCTCAAGCTCGAAACCTGTCGAATAGCATCACCAATTAAAAAAAAAAAAAAAAGAGAGAGATTGTCGCGGCGTCGTTAATCATAAAACAGTCGACGGATCGAATTACCTCAGGATATAACGCGACGCGGAGGAGGAGACAGAGTTGGGGAACGACGGCGAGCATATACAGCGGCACGAAGTAAAGCGCGGTGTGCGCTAAATCTGCGTAGCAAACGCTTTGCCAAAACGACATTCTCGACGAGCCGTACAGAAGCGGGGAGAATCTCGACAGCCCGATTTGGCTCAGCCCGAAGTACCATCGCATGTGCTGAAACATATGCTCGCCGAGCGTTATCGGACTCGCGCCCAAGAAACACGGCCTCGTTGGATCGATGTACACCGAAGTCCATCCCGAGCAGTGTAGTTTGAAGCCTGTGAAGTAGTCTTCAACGACAGAGTATCTGAATCCAACCTGCAACACAGGACGACTTCTTAAAATTGGAAATCATTCTATCGTAAATTAGCCGCAGATCGAAAGCTCGCCTCTTGTCCCCAATCCGTGCCTTCGTCGTAGTTGCAAGAGGCCAACGATCGAATCTCGTTTGAATTATCCAAAATCTTCGAGCAGTTGGGATGCTCCGTATCGTAATTTCTATTAATCGATGTAATAAACCCGTTCGATGAACCGAAACACTTGTTTAGGTCGGCAACCTTGATTTGACCCTGATCTGAACGATGGACAAATTGAACCATGAATAACCTCGAAATATACCTCAAACAACGACGAAAAAGTATCGAATATTACCATCAAGAGAATCGGGGGTTCCGTAGAGAGCCTTCCTCTTTATGTAAAAGCAAGTTCCCGACAAAATCGGTCCGAGAATCCCATCCAGCCCTTGCCATTTTTCCTGAAAATTTTCGAAGATGAATCAAACCTAAACCTCAAAAATGTTCGAAACGACAGCATCAATGGTGATCGGCATTACCCAAAAAGATCTCATATGGCCAGAATAGATATCATTGTTCTTCGAAACATTGTAGAATTTCTGCGGAAACTGCACGAAACCGAGATTGGGGGATAATTTGGAGTCGAGGTGGAAGCACATCGCTTGTCGAGCAGACGACGGATCGTTGCAATACATGTCGCAGTCGAGGACGAGAATGTAAGGAGAATTGGTGATCATGGCGGATACTCGAAGCTACAAAAATCGATCAGACATCATATTTTGTTAGCTAAATCAGGGGAAATGCTAAAGCAGGGGAAATTATAGATACATTTTCGTGAAGAATGGATAATTAATTACCAGAACATTGAGAGCTCCTGCTTTGAAATGGTGAGGATGGAATGGCCTCTTCTCCCTCGCAACGTATGCCAGAAATGGCAGATGTCGTCGTTCTTCTTCGACATTTTCATTTTCACTAATCACCTGTAAGATTTTTAATGTTCGATTTTGTGATAATTTTGAATCAAATGCCTGAAAGTGAACGAGCTTTGAAATGGTTGCTACCTCAATTACAGGCGGGTGATCTCTGCTGGTAGCGACGCCGGACTTCGCCACAATCTCCGAGATCCGGGACTTGAACTCCAAGTACCGTTCCTGCACAGAAATTTCAAACACAATCTTCATCCCCAAAGCATAAACCCTAATTTTTTCAGAATTTCTAAGCGGACTGCAAATTTTAGTTTTACCTGAATTTCCTTCTTCTCAAGTATGAATTCGCTGCTGTAAACCTTCCCATTGCCGTTAACCTTCTTTGCCTTGAGGAAATACGCCTCCGGACACCTCTTTTTCACCTCATACTTCCGGCAAAACGGAATCCAGATTTTCGCGAAAATCCAGGCCTGTTCGGCGGCGCGTAGGGTTACGGCGCTCCCGCCGTCGTCGGAAATGTAAACGTTGAGCTTCTCGGGGGGGTAATCGAGCGCCATAGCAGATATAACAGTGTTCATAACTTTGAGGCTAGGCTCCTTGCTCGGATCCGCAGTGCAGACGAACACGTCGACGGAGGGGAGTTTTTCGTCGCCGGCGAGTCTCTCCGGGAACGCCTTGCGGACGATTGGCGTCCATCGGGAAGGCTGATTGAGGAACCAAATGAAAGCGAGAATGGCCTCCGCCGTGAACATGAGAAGGTGAGGGAATATGGAGGTGCGGTTGAAGATTTGCGTGAGCCTGTAGTGGAATAGGAAGAGGAGAGCGACGCCATGGACGATGGAGTGGAGCCTGTTGGCGGCTAAACGGAATTTGAGAACATGGCAGTTGTTGAGAGGAAGAGAGGAGGACTCCATCTCCATTGCTCTTGTGTTAATCGAGGTGAAAATGATGACGCGTGTTTTGCGCTCTTTGGTATTTATAATGAAAAGCGTGTTTTTGTAAGTACCATTTTCACTACTATTTAAAGGTATGGCCTATTGGGTTGCTCACTTAGGCTAGGGCTTTAGTTTTGAATAATTCATCGTTGCCGGCTCTAAGAGTCTCATTTATTTTTTATGTGTTGACATTTGAATATTAATTATTATATCAAAATAATATAAATTAAAAGAAAAATTGCAAAAATTATTTTTATTTGTGTCTTATAAAACTAATAGAATGACATATATACAAAAAAATTATAAAAATATAAAAATATTTTTAATGTTAAGCATAACGACGCAAAAAGTAAATGTGATTCTTAGAACCGGACGGATGAAGTATTAAAATTTTAAATTAAAGGAATTATTATTTTCGTCCCATAAGGATAGTATTATCGGTTTTTTGCACGTTGATTTTGAATATTAATTATTATCAATACTTAGTATTTCTTCCGTTTTATTTAATTTGCCCACTATTTTCATTTCTTTTTTTAAATACAATTATAAACTTTAATCACATTTTAAAATTCATAATTTATAATTTTTTATTTTAATTACACTATTTAGTCATCTTAATATAAAATTATTTTTATTAAATCATAATTATTTTTACTAATGCACTTCTTAATTATTCGTTAATTACAAGATACCTAAAACTTCGTACTTAATCTAAATGAGAAAATTAGCCGGGACGGAGGAAGTACAAATTAAAAGAAAATGACAAAAATACTCCTATCAATCTCTTATAATACAAATATAATGACACATGTGGAGTAAATTATACAAATATAAAAATATTTTAATGTTAAATACAATAAAAATGGTACTGGTTTTATGGAGCGGAGATAACATTTAATGTGATATAAATATATAGTGATTTCATATTTTAAATATTTTGAAATAATAACATTAATAAATAAAAATAAATATTTGATTTGATATTATTTAAAAAAACTAAAATCAAATAATAAAATTAAAATCAAAATCAAATCTCATAAATAAAATTGAAAGTACTATTTTTATCATTTAATCTGAGATATTATAAATAAAAATGAGTTATATTCAGATGAAAAAAATCTAAATTACTGAAAATTATTTAAAGTACTATTTTTATTTCTTTTCATTTTTATATGTCTTCTGTCACTTTTTTTTAAAAAAAAAATAAAAAATTATATATTTTATTTTTATTTTACATTTTTTAATTTATAATTTTTTAAAAAATTTAATTAGACTAATTGGTTATCTTGATTTTAATCTAAATTTAATTTTTTTATACAATAATTATTTTCACTAATACATTTTTAATTATTTACTAATTATATCCTATTAAATTTCCGTTCAACAATAAAAAAGACATTGTAGCTAAGACAGATGAAGCATTATCTTTTAATTTACTACAAAAACTTTAATATATACTTTTGTCCTAAACAATAAATATATATTTTTATTAAAAAATAATACAAAGTGAATATGGTGTCTTTGTTCGGGGTTTGGATTTTCTGAATTGAAATTTGAATAGTAAAAAATTTAAATTAGAATAGTGGTATGATGTGATATAAATAAATATTGATATAATATTTTAAATATAAAATTTAATTTTTAAAATAATATCAAAAATAAAAATTAATTATTTAAAGTTAATATTTTTCAAAAAATATATTTATGTGAATTGTACAAATCCTATAAAATTTTCAAACAAAAACAAAACCAAACAAGACCTCAAAATAATACTAAAATAATTCATTTTTATTAACTAATTTAATTATTATATAAACCTCGTTGCAAGTTCCCACAAAACCGTTACAAGAGAGGTAACATGGGTAAGATTACTTGGGCATTTTTTAAATATATATATATATATATATATTTATTTATTTATTTATATTTATAAATTTTATAAATTTAAAATAAAATAATTGTGGAATAATACAAAAATTCGTGTTAGCTTGATGAATTAAAGGTCCATTTAAATCGAAACGAAAGAAATATTTATTTATTTTTTAATAAAAATACTTTTTTTTGTCGTTATTATTTTATTATCATTAATATTAAGAGTAAAAAATTTTTTACAAATATATATTTATAAAATATTAATATACCTAAAATTGCATATAAAAATCAAATAAATACTTATGAGTATAATGGAAAAGAATTAAAATTATACTAATATATTTTTTCTATTTCATATAAATTGTTTATTATTATTTTTATTTTTATCAATTTCATAATTTATTATTTTTATTTTTAAAAATATAATTATATATTTTAATCGACATTGTAAATTTTATATAATTATTTTAATTTTAATTTATAATTATATGTATTATATAATAAATATTTTTATGAATATAATTTTTAATTTTTGATTAATTATATTACATTTAAATTTTCATATTTATAATTAAAAGGTTCGTGCAGAGACGCACGCATGGAATGAGATGTTGACACGTGGAATAACATGACGGGCCAGGAGACACGTGAGCCTTGCAGTGCAGCCATGCAGGGATAGACATATGACAGAAGCGGATTTAAATGACCATAATAACCCTATACGTTGTTACTTATTACGTCTCATATTATTTGTCTATTCTTTCTATTTCGACTCATCTCATATAATTTTTTTTTAAAAAAAAAAGAATATATAATTATATACTTTAATCATATTTTAAATTTATAATTTATAATTTTTTATTTAATTATTTAGTTATTTTAATTTAATTTATAATTATTTTTATTATATCATAATTATGTTTATTAATATATTTTTAATTATTTATTAATTACATATTATTTAAAATTTTGTGTTTCAACTAAAATGGATAAATTAACTGAAACAAAAAAATCATTTACTTTTCTCTTTTTTTTCAACTCTTCGTGCCTAGGAGTTTTCGAGAAATTTTTGAATGATTTTACTATTTTAAATTTTTTAAAAGAATATTAAATTAAATATTTATTATATTATATTATATTATATTAAAATTTAATTTTATTTAAAATATTATATTATTATATATATTTATATTATATTAAATAAGTATTTTAATTTAAATTTTTACTATACAAAATTAAAATATAAAATCAAAATAAGTATTCCATCCATTTCATAACAAAATATCTATTTTTTCATTTTAGTCCGTCCCATAACAAAGTATCTATTTCTTTTTTTAGTAATTGTACTATCTACCTAACATTACAAATACCCTTACAACTTACAATATATTACACAAATATCATTATTTTTATATCATACATAATAAGGTTATTTTAGTCATTTCTACTTTATTTCTACTATATCCCAATATAATATTAATATTTCTAAAACTATGTGCAAAAAACAAATGGATACTTCTTAACGGAGGAAGTATTAAATTAAAATATTTATTTTTTACATTTCACTAAAATATATAATTATTGAATTTATAATTTATTTATTTTACTTTCAATAATATTTTAGTCAATATATTCTAACCACTATTTTAAGGAATATTGGATCTAGATACCAAATGGCCAAAGAAAATTTAAATAATTAATGTATATGAATGTGGTGTCAATTTGATATGAATTATTCAATTTAAAATTTACTGTTCATCCAATAACAACATAGATGCGTGACAAAATAAATAAATAAATTAATTAAATAAAATAAAATTACATAGATGTGTGCCAATAAATTAATATAAATAATTAAATCAAGATTCAAATTTCTTCAACGCTAATATTGTTTGATTAACAGTTAATATTCCCTTAATCAATCAATAAAACAATTTATTTAATCTAATCATTGGATCCATTAAATTTATTTAATACTAAATAAGTTTTTTTTTTTTTTTTAATATATATAACTCGCCACTACTCATCCATGCATGCATCCTAAATAAAAGTTTATAGTCTGATTTATTTATTTTTAGTATTAGTATTATAAGACACTAATTTAAATAATTTTGCAATTTTTTTTTTAATTTGTACTACGTTTTAATATAATAATTAATATTAAAAAATCATAAAACAAAAAGTAAATAAGACTGTTAGAGCCGAATAAAGATAATATTCAACCTATATTTTTATTTAAAATATTAGTATAGGTCTATATAACAAAAGTAAATGATACATACAAAATATATACCTTTTAGCATTCTCAAATTAATGTCGTAATTTGACTTTTAATTTAAATAGTATTTTATGTGTTATTTGTGAGAGAAAATAATATTTCATCTGTTTCATTATAAAATATTCATTTTTCTTTTAGTTAATTAATTTGTTGGGATATTTTTGATATTTTTGGCCTCGTAAAATATTTTTGTAAAAATTAAAATTATTTTGATATTTGTATATTAATTATTTTTACTATAATATAAAATAGATATATATTTTTTTTTAGTAAGATTAATGAAAATGATAAAAAAAAATATATATACATTAAGCTAAGACGAATAATATATATTTTTATTGAAAATAGTTTTCAGGATGAATAGTTGATTATATATATATGAAAAACAAACAAACACACCCAAAACCCTCCAAAATTTGTCTCTTTTATATATTCTCTTCAATCACTTCTAAGGATCACATTTACATTTTGCGTCATTGTACTTAACATTAAAAATATCCTTATATTTATATAATTTTTTTTGTATAAATATCTTTCTAATATTATTATATTATAAGATACTAATAAAAATATTTTTGCACTTTTTTTCTTAATTTGCACTACGTTTTGATATACTCCCTCCGTCCCAGATACCATGTCCACGTTGTCGTTTCTGTCCGTCCCACATATCATGTCACTTTCTTTTTTTGGAAAATGATTACACACTTTAATCTCATTTTAAATTTTTTAATTTTAATTTAACTAATTAGTTATCTTAATCTTAATTTATAATTATTTATATTATAGGATAATTATTTTTACTAATACATTCTTAATTATCTACTAATTACACCCCTCCTAAAATACTGTGTCTACAGTGTAGCAGACACGGTATCTGGGAC